AAAAAAATATTAAAAAATAACAGCACAAGCAATGTGACACATGTGTCATGTCATTGGTTTAAGTTGCGTAAAATGTTCCAAACGGTATAATTTTGCAAAAAAAAAAAAATGCTTTTTCACAGTTGAACTGCATTGTGGAAGTTGGGAAAGTCCTCCGCTGTCTTGTCGGGGGGTGTAGTGTTGCTCGAAGCCTATACCGCTTTCACAGCTGAGAGGGGGTGGGCTTGTTCCTCCTCTCCCCGCCGCCAACGCTGCTCTTACCCCTTTGCGCCCTAATTTAACGCGGGTCATTGAGGCGGGCGTTTTTAGCGGCAGCCCCCGCCTGTGAAATAATACTAATGATAATAATTTTGGTCGCCAAGCTGCGGGGCCCCGCTGCTGCTACTGCTGCTGCTGCGCGGGCCCAACCCCCATTGGGGCTCGTTGGGCCGGCGACTGTAAATCTGCCTCACATCGAGAGGTGGCGGCTGCGGCCACTCCTGGCCCGTGTTATGCAGAGGGAGGCTGAGGGAAGGTCTCTTTCTGGCTCATGCCCTGCCCCCTAAAAATATGTGTTCCCCATCCCGTATGAGTACGGAATAAAAAATTTCAGAAGTTCAAGTTAAATGATGGCAAATGTCCTCATTCTGGCCCATATTTCCTGTTGCCCGGCTTCCACCGTGTTGGCCACGGAACAACGCTCAGTGGCTGACGTCCTGACGCCTCTTGTAATATGTGACCAGGGCAAGTGGACGCGCGATGGAGCTGCCTCCGTGACGTCGGCTAGTTGCGTCAACGCCGTCACCCCCAGTGCACGTCAGTGTATATATAATATACTGATAATAGAACCCGCCCTCCGGGCCCCCTACACAGCATTGTCCGGACGTAGACGCCGTCCACGGAATCCTAGATCGCATTTAGCTCGATGTCATGCGATCCAGGAGGAGTGCCCTGTTCAGAGTGCTGATGTGGAGAGAAGGATTTGAACACTGGATATGGGGGGTATGTGTGACTCCCCCTCCCCCCCCCC